CATCTGCAAACTTACTGAGGGAGCACTCATGAACCTGTTTAGCTGGTTAGTCCTAAAGAAATATGGAATTCTCAGTTTGTATGCAGTTCAAGACACTGTTTTTCAGCAAGGATAGCAATCGTCAAGATTACTCCTGAATTTTAATTTCACCCTCAGCATGTGTAGTTCCCTCCAGTTAGGTTGTCTGCAAATCCGAAGAGTATCTTCTCTGTCCTGAAAGTCATCTAAGGGAATAAAGAATGACACTGGACCCAAAAAGACCCCACGTACTTTTTAAAATCATCTCCACTCTACCTGTAAGCACATGGCCTGGTTAGCTGTTCTTTGAATTTCTGTTTAATGAGCCATTTTATTATTAAATATACTTTATTTCTTTTTTGCTTTATAACAAAGGTAAGATCACACTGAAATCTTTAAGGAAAAAGTATCTCTGCAGTAATTTTAGTATATCAATAACATGGTTATATGTTTTCAGAGTTACTATTATGAAAGACAAAGACACCAGGAAGAGCAAAGGAGTTGCCTTTATTTTGTTTTTGGATAAAGAATCTGCTCAAAACTGTTCTCGGGCACTTAATAACAAACAGGTAAATTGTGGAAGTTGTTTTGGTAGGAGGGTTGGATTTACAGCCCCAAAATATTTACCTTTTTTTCCAATTTGCTGTAGTTGTTTGGAAGAGTAATAAAAGCAAGTATTGCCATTGATAATGGAAGAGCAGCAGAATTCATTCGCAGGCGTAACTACTTTGATAAGTCTAAGTGTTACGAATGTGGGGTGAGTAAAACCAAAAATTAAGTACTATATTCCATCTTTTTTCTTCAGTTTGGCCTTTGCTAATCCTGCCTGTGGTGTTAAAATAACTTTTTCAGTTGATACTATCAACTTGCATAGCAGTTCTGCCATTTTCAAGAATTATAATACCCCTTTTGTCTTTTATTTGGGATTTTGGCGGGGGGGAGGTGGGGAAATATATGCTTATAATCACTGCTTAACATGCTGATGAGAAGACAGAGACAAGTATCAGTATAAAGCTGCATGAGAAAGAAAGCCTCCTAATTATTGCTTCAAAATGCCTGCTTTTGCTGTATCTTTGGTAGCTCGTGATATAGTTGGCAGTAAAATATATATTGGAAACAACTGTTTTTACACAGAATAAATGTGTTTTACATTTAAGGCAAGTACTCATTTTCCTTAATATGATAATATAGGAGATTGAGATTTCGATAGTATTTAACATCAAATACTTGACTTATATTCATAACACTTTTGAGAGCAAAAATTTTATTCATTCCTATTTCTTAAACTGTTAATGCTGAGGTTTATATCTTGTGTTGAACACAAACTGTGCTGTAGTGTATTCAGCTATTGCAGCAGCTGAAGAAAATCTACTTGGCTCATAGCTTCTTCTCAATTTGCAGTTAAACATGCATATCACCACCAATCTCTTCGTTTCCATGGCAAGCTTATAGAGAAGAGTATGTCTTCTGTGTGCTAATTCAGCATTCCATTTGTCTTACTAATTGCTTCCATTTTTTTCTCCCTGTGAACTGTCTTACATTAACTTTCCTCATGATATGTTTCAACATATAGTTGTTTGTAATGGTTTATGTTAAGCAATATTTCTTCTTCTCCAAGGAAGCAGGACATTTAAGTTATGCTTGTCCTAAAAATATGCTAGGAGAGCGGGAGCCACCAAAAAAAAAAGAAAAGAAGAAAAGAAAGAAAATAGTTGAGCCAGAAGAAATGTATGTATACTTATTTACATGTTAATACTTCTTTCAGGCAGCTTTTTCATACTGAACACATAAAATAAAGATCTATGTATTTTTCTCTCTCTGCACAATGAAGTGAGGAGGAAGAAGAAAGCGAAGAGGAAGGAGAAGACCCTGCTCTAGATAGCCTCAGCCAAGCCATAGCTTTTCAGGTACAAAATTAGAGCATTGCATATTAATTATTTATTGTTATTTAAATGCAACTCTACTTCATTTTTTTTTTTTAGCTGCTTTTCAAAAGCTCCGAGATACAGTGTAAGTCTGCCCGCTCTGTAGCACTCAGGGTGCTCTTGCCTGTCACTAGTTGGTGACTGTAGTTGGTTTCTTCACACTGCAGGCATATTCAGTCTTTTTTTTTTTTTTTTCCTGTTTCACTGTTGCTGTGTTTTGTGCATTGCAATTCTTTCTTTCCTTCAAGCTCCTTTGCTGCTTAGTTTCCGGTCATCTCTGCTGTGATATTCTGTTAGGTTTCTGGTCCACAAATCCCAATTTGTTAAATGAGCAGCCAGAAAAAGTCATGTATAAATGACCAGGTACATTCTCTGCCCTCACTCACTAGAATATCCTTGAACAACATCTATTTCTGGAGCACTTCCTTTGCCTAATATAGTCCATCGTGGTCTCTAGTAGACCTTTTCTCTCAAAACGTATTTAATGCATTTTTTTTAATGTAGATAAGATAGTCAGACAGCTGTATTACTGTTGTCTTTAATACTTCTTTACGGGCTTTTGCTTCGCTACACAAAGCAAGCCTGACCTGGCTGTATGTTTTAAATGGGAATATGCCTATGTTTTAATACACTCTAATGTTATATTGAAAGTCTCCTGCTATTAGTTCAAATTTCATGGCTTCCTAGTCCTCAGTTGTCCCCTGTGTGCCCTTATCCCCCCAAAAAAACCCCTCAGAGTTTCTAAGATATCTTTGTCCTGAATATGACTGTAATGAGTGCAAAACTTTTACATGATGTAGTCAAAAAAGAGATGCAAATATGCACAATTATACACCCACCACCACCCCCCAAAGAGAACTCCACAATCAGAAATAAAACCTATAAATGTAAACAAGCCAGAAAACATTCCCATTTCTCTCACCGTCCAAAGATTTTAACTGGGATAGCATGTTTCTCAGTAAAAACAGGAAGCATCTATTTAAACATGTAGCTGAATAACCTTTATATCCCTGAAGACATTAATTTCCTGACTGAATGACTGCAAAAGACAACAGATAGAAGACTTGGTAGTGGAACAAAGCTGATTCAATAATGTCAATTTAAAACACAGTGCATTGTTTGCTTCAGATCTAAGCTGCTCTGTAGTTCTGTAAGTTTGCCAGGTGCAGAGTTTCTGTCTTTGAAAATAGAAGGTACTCCATTTGGCCTGCATTGGTGCAGAAGACTTACTGTTTGTATTAGAACTACTTTCAGAAATGTTTTCTGGTGCATTCATCACACAGTTTATCTGGAAACGGAGATAAACCCTTTGAATTCTTTTAACTTACTAAATAAATCAATGCATATTAATAATTAGCATTATTATTTGTAATGCATCTCAATTTTTCTTAAGCCTAATTAATACTTTTCCTTTCTCCCATTCTAGCAAGCCAAAGTTGAGGAAGAGCAACAAAGATGGACGCAGACTGCAGGGGAATCTTCAATTTCAGATGATTCAAAACGTCCTCGGATTAAGAAAAGTGCTTATTTCAGTGATGAGGAAGAACTTAGTGATTGAAATAATACTGTTTTATATGCATATATAATATATATATAATGTACATTTTGTAAAGTGCTACAAAGTTATCTAATACAGGTTTGTTTTGATGTTGAAGACACTTACTGAAAATCATGTTGTAGTTCTGTCCTGCCCCTCAGACCTCCCATTATTTTGATATCTCTGTCTCTCAAACCTTCACCCTTCAAGGCAGCTTCTTAAGAAAACAATGTGTTTGTACACTTAAACCTGGAAAATAATCTGGGAGAATGCTTCTTGTGTTTAGTGTCTAGACCCAAACCCTGGCAGTGAAATCTTTCATACAGAATTTCCTAAGGTTTTTTTTTTTTTTTTTTCCTAAAAGGAGTTCCTCTTAGGATCACTGTTAGCACCACTGATGCTTTGTGTATTGGTCTGTTTCTTGCCTGTTTGGAAGCAGTGCTTTTTGTAGTACTTTTGTAGTGTATCAATCTTGCACTAGTTCTACTGCATAGGGTTGAATTTCAGCCTTAAGCATTGTGCTAGCCTTTTAACTCTTCATGCAGTAATATAATAAATTTGTAAGTCACATAAACTTGTTCTGTGTAATCATTTTAGACTAAACCATACATACCTGTTTTCCAAAAGGATATTAAGATGATGATCTTTTGCCTTATGCACAGTCTTAGTAACTTGCTGTACATTTTGTAGTATTATATAGCTTATATGCAATATAGGCTTCATAGGAGATGCAAGTTAAAAGTTCTGTGGTAATTAGTTAAATTTTGAAATCTTCATACTTAATATTTTTTTAAGAGTGATAGTTCTGTTGCTCTTGTATTAAAATTGGGAATGGACATATGTTTTAAAAATGGGAATGTGCATATGTTTTAATGTGCTCTAATCTTCTGTTGAAAGCCTCTTGCTATACTGTGCTGTTTCTCCGAACATCAGTCTACATGTCTAACGTGGTAATTATGGTTATGCACAGGTTTTTAAATATGCTTGTATCTAACATGGATCACAGTCCTATCTTCTCAGGCATTTGAACCTGCTGGCAAAATCTAGAGAACACAGAGTTTCCTATGTGCTTAAAAATCAGCTTTCGTGTGTACTTGGAACTGTCATCGTCTCCGAGGGAACTGTGCTGGTGCCTATTTTGCACCTAAAGCTATTCAGATCTTTTAAATAGAATCTCCATCCTTAAATCTCTGTAGGGTTCTAGTCACGTTCTCCTAAAAAGCCTCACAGACACATTAGGACAACAGTACAAAGCTCTGCAGCAGCGATCACTCCCCAAACCTTAGACATATGGTGATGGTGATAACCCTTTTATATTGGCCTTTTGTGTAGTCAAACTTTTCATTTTTAGGAGGCACAATATAAAACACACTCACTTTCACACTTGGAAGAAGAGACCAGCTGGCCTCTGTTTCTATTTTCAGCTTTTCCTGTTGCTCATCAGAACTTGGGTTTCTTCCAAATACAGAAAATGTAAATCCAAATATACCATTACATATTTTTAATTAATACTAGTTCACATTTAAATATATAACTGGGTGCAAAGAGAAGACACACTCTGAACAGTCACTTTCAGGAGGTCATTCTGGGGTCTTCTGTTGCTACTGCCACAAGAATTCAAAAACAAGAATAAGGTAATAAAGTGGAAGATTTTTTCTGTACAAACTACTCAAGCAACAGAATGGGGAGCAATATTGGGCTTTGTACATATGAAAGTCTTGGACTCAGTAATCCAGAGAATGTTTTTAACACTTACTTTGTGACTTTCTTCTGAAAGCACTATGTCTTCAGGCTGGTTAAATCTGCAGCCTCCTTTACTGAATTTCGGAAAGATCTCTTCATACTGGATAGCCCAGTGCTAAAGTCCCAGGTGTAACTTAGTGTTAATAAATGCAAATCACTGTACATCATGTGTGTAAAATGAAGACTGAGTTCTAAACTCTAAGGAAGAAAATCTTGCTGCCAGCTTGCTTCGCTGCAAATGATAGGTTAGGGCACAGTGGCAGTAAAAAAGAAAAGAAAGGAAAAAAGACAGAAATGGATAGCAAAACAAACAAACAAAAATATTATGCCACTACTTAAAATCAGGGTTTGTCTTCTTCTCCAATGCCATGTTCAATGCTGTTATTAAAAAAATATAGAAAACTAAATGTGACAGAGGATCAGTTTGACGTTGTCCATGACTTTGATTTGGGAATGTTTGATAGCTTGTAGGAATTAAGGTTTCAATGAAGTGATCAGGGAGCAAGTTTCAAACTTTTACCTCGTTACACTGTGTAATGCAGTAGTGGAACTCACTGCTATGAGACTTTTTTCAGGGTCATAGGGTCAAAAGGATTAGACTTATATGTGATTGTTTAAAAACGTTAGCTTAATTACAGTCCCCATTCAGAAATATCCTAAATTACTGACTACCTTTAGCTGTAAAAGATACAGAGATATTAACAGTCTAGTAGGAATGTTTTATTCTTACGCACTTTACTGTTTCATATTTGCTACTGGTGTCTTGTCAGAAAGAATAAAACCAAAAGTTGACCTTTATTCCGACCTAATATAGTATTTTTTCCAAAAGTTCCAGTGGCTGAAGCATGTTGATATATCTTTCTACTCTGCTGCTTCTGCCTCACTGCTTTCCCTATAGGATTTGCTTTTGTCAGCATGGAGTGGTAGCACAGTCCAGGCTATTGCAACTGACCCAGTGGTGTTCCTCCATGCTCTTCGTTCCAAGCGTAACATCACTTGAGGTAGGGTGACATTGGGAAAGAAATAGATAAAAATGAGCCTGCTTCTGTGCAGAATTGGCATCAATAATTCCTTACCTTAAATAATTTTCCTTTAACAGTTTTCTTAACTCTGAACTTTTATTGATTAGCAGTGCTTATAGTTTTTGGCTTAGGGTCAGGGTAAAGAAGGCGGCACCTAGTGCCTAAAACAGGCCCTAGAGGGACTTAGGAAGAGTAGGATTTTTGCACTTTGGTCTCCTGAATCATGTTAAGTTTCTATTCTTTGTTGGCAAGATAATGAAGCATTCCTAGGTGATAAATTCAGCACACTAGCATTAGATAACCATTAAGTTAGAGAGCATGAGTACCTGTTCTGCTTCCGTAAATCCAGAACTGTTGTTTGTAGCAACCCCTGATTGCAGCTGCTTCATTCTGAAAAAAGGCTAAAACTTGTCAACTAAGTCCCTTTTTGATCTTCGAACGCCAAGGGAATTTGGTCCTGTTTGTGCCCAACCTCACCTACTCCAAGCAGCATGTCTTCAAATTTCCGAGTCTGATCAGTGTTGAGAAGCTAGGTGGAGTATTAACTAGGCTCCTAATTTAGATCAGGCCAATAGTGTGCAATTAGTTGTCAAAACATGAGAGAGAGTGGTGCTTTTGTCAGGGTTTGGTATCATGAAGCACCAGCTCAGGAAGCAGAAAATAGCTTTGGTGGCTGCATGACTCCGGGCCAGACAGATGAGGCTATGCAGTCATGTTATCAAAAGAGAGAAGGATGAAAACCGCCTTGTAGAACACCTTCCTGTTATTGTTAGAAAAACCACAGGGGTTTGTGGATGGGGGTTTTGTGTTGGTTTGGGGCTTTTTTTTTAGTACTTTGGGACCCAACTTAGGCTAGCAAGCTGAATGCTGGCTTTAGAGTGTATATAATGTGGCTCTGATTATAGAGAAAATGACATTGTGGCAGACATTTTTATTTTTTTTAAATCACGTCAAAAACTTGGATCTTTGTGCAAACATCCACTTACTAGATTTTGTCTTTTGCATTTTCAAACAGCTTGAAAATTGTCAAAATAATGCTTCCTGGGTCATGGGACCTCTTGTCTATTGAAATGGCTAACCAAGTAGTGTCTCAGAAGCCACTAGCAGATGACTTTTATCTGTCCTTGGGGAAGAAGGGGCTATGGAAGGGGGATAAGGATGAGTAGCTTAACTGATTATAAATGGTATTAGTCATACTGTGCCTGTGCAGCACTTGCTAAACCATTGCAGCTATGAGACACTGGAGTAATTTTAGTCTGTGTTTAGCAGGCTCCCGCTATGTTCTTGGCACATTCAAGTTACTAGTCTCAGCAGAGCAATAGAAGGGGCTGTAAATATAAAGAACTATGTGTAGCTAAATAGGTGATGTCTGGAACAAATTGTAAACACTTTTATCTTTGGCTTCTGGGTCACCATGTTCTCTGGGATAGCCCTTATTTAATCTGCAGAGATGACTTACTGTAGCATGGTAAGGTGACCTGTGCATGCTGTTTGGCTGTAGTCTTCCGAGGCACAAAGGATCGAACTGCTTGGAAAAGCCAGATGTAAAACATGATATTTAAAAATGGGATTTATTAAGTGCTACTATGAATGTTTAGAAGTAAATAGTATAAAGACCCCTTTGTTTCCGCTTTCTATTCTATTTGGCATCTGCAGCAGCAGCATGATAATATATACCCTCACAATTGCACCATTGCTCTTCTATAAAAATATTTCAAATAACACTCTTCTAGATGTGTTATCTTAAAATAACTGGTATTGGATAGCTGATTGCTTCTTTTTAGTATAGATTACAAAACTGGTTTTAGGTGTCCTTAAAATGTTCATGCTAAACAACTTTGTTTATCTCACGGATCTTAACAGGGTGAGTTTTTTCTGTAGCTGCTGATGGCAATATTAAAAATTACTACACTGTTCCTTCTTTAGAGAAAGAGGTGTCAAGTGAAGGGTTTAGGTACAAGATCTTGTTTCTTGTGTCTATCCTGGTGTCTGTAAAAAGTATCCTAGAAAGGATAAGCTGGGGAGATTCTATATGTAAAACAAAGTAATTTTTTTTTAAGTTGAAGAATTGTACAGGTTCGTGAAATAATGTTTTGTCAGTGCCAGGCTAACCCTGACCCTGCTGTGCATTCAGGCAGACAAGATGTGTGATTGTACAAGTATTTAATGGATGTGATAGGTAATGCAGCAAGTAAAGAGTTACAGAAATTGTGGCAGTAAAATGTGATAAAAGCATGTGAAAAATCTAACCAGCCT